ATAAATTCAACTGCTATTAGAATGGTGGAGATGTGGTCCACCCAGAGGTACCATAGAAAGGTCCGGTGATCTATTTCCACAGCTCAGCCACTATCACTTCTATAGAGCACATTTCTCCTCAGAAACATATGATATTGCTATGAGATGGATTTGGCTCAATGTCAATTTTTTAAATACCTTTTGGGATTGTAATGTATTAAGAACTTTCGATATGCATGATATTTTCCAACTTATGTGTACAGGACAAAGTGGTAGCTTTAAATATTTTTTCTTGAGTAACTTAAAACAAAACCACAACTGCCAATCACAGCCAAAGGTCTAGTTCGAGAGGCTATGTTTATTCCTTATCAAGGGATCACCCCTACATTTTACTAATATACTCTTTTAAACACAGTCCTGCCTGAAAGTTTTAAAGCATATTTTGCTGGTGTTGCTCATTAAATATATGCTGATATCTTATAGTATGATCTGATAGCCAATAAGTATTTTTTTGTACGTGCAAACATGTAATGAAAGAAGTGAGTGAAGGAATGTAAGTGTGCGTACACATTAAATAAATGAACATGGAGGAGAGCTGTGTCAGTTACAGTTTTATAACAACTTGTGTGGGCTAGGACTCTCATCGATATGACAGTGAAGGCATCGAATCCTTCCATATTGAGTTCCAATACAATGTAATGACATCCCTGACAGGACCTACAATGAGCACCTAAGAATGGAAGTTTCCTCAGGGGTGTGGGCTTTGTCCAAGCTATATGGATCCTGTGGAAATTTGCCTGCTTTTTGCATCTGGCTCACCTCTTGACCCCAAGTTCTTCCAGTGAGCCAGTAGCCTGCCATATTAACCAGTCGTGGGAGCTGGCGTGAGTCTGCTATCTTACTTGCTAACGTAATCATTCATTTCTGCAGCCAGAAGCCTACTGTCTGACTTGCTGATCTTGGATCTTGGTTACATGTGTTAGGGAAAGCTCCCAGCTTGACATTTAACCTGTGACTTGAAACTTGATCACCTCTACAGAGATAGGAGCTTCATTGGTTTTGCCTTTTCAGAGAACCATGCAAATGACTGGAGGTTAAATTGGATTAGCTCAGACCTTGTTAGTCCAGCTATTACAGATGCTCCTGTGCTTTTTAATTTCTTCTTTGTATCTCCTTTGTGCTTCACAATATGAATACCCTTTTTTTGGCACAACCAACATATTCATATTCTTATACAAAAGAGAATAATATACATTTTATAAAATATAATTATATTTTTAAATATATTCATGTTTCTCTAAAATGTCTCTTTTTTTTCATTTTTGGTAGTAAATCCTAGCTATGTTCATATGTTCCCTTTGTGCTTTCATTCATTTGTCAGATAATTACGATGTGTTACAATGCGGCAGGCATTATGGATATACCTCTGAAAAGACAATATGCCTCCTTTCAATTTCCTGGAGATGTCTCATTCTCTCTTTCTGTTCCTTACACTGACCTCTTTCTCTTTCACAGTAGGAAACCTGTCACAATCTGCACTATAATTAATTATGTTTTATATCCCATACTGTACTATAAACTCTTTGATGCTATAATCTCATTTTATTAGTCTTTTTATTATGTAGAGTTTCCAAGAGAGTGTCTTTTACATGTTAAATACTTTAAATTATTTACGGTATTCAATAGATGACTAGATGATCCTGCGAAGAAAAGGTCTCCTATGCGCACTTCACCTTGGCCCAAATTTTGTCTGGTAGAATTAAAAGTAACAAAATCCAGATAAATGGATTTAATTACAATAGTTTTTCATCTTAAATTTACAGCATGGCATTCATCCCAATTGTCTGGCTCTAGTCCGTGATCTACCATTTATTCTCTGTGTTATCTTGCACCTTTATTTCCCCACTGCTAAATTTTAGGTCGTGATCATCCATACCTGAGAAAGTCAGTTGCTATTCAAATGAAATGGGGAAAGGTATGCAAAGTTTGGATCTAAATCATGTATATTGGATCTCAAAATGCCTTAGTACTGTTATTACATATAGCAGTAAATTTGTAAATTACTTGTTATCCACATCCTAGCTTTTGACCTAAAGTCAAAAGCCTCCCCTTCCACCTTTCATGATGTAGCAAGGTGCTCTGATGCTGGAAGCTGCAGTGTCCCGTTTCCCTTCCCAGTATCTATCTATCTATCTATCTATCTATCTATCTATCTATCTATCTATCTATCTATTTCTATCGATTGATCTATCTATCTATCTATCTATCTATCTATCTATCTATCTATCTATCTATCCATCTATCTATCTATCATCTATCTGTATAGGCTTTTGCTCTTGTAGGTGCCCAGCATTCTAGTTGCAAGCTCATTTGTCAGTTTTAATTTTCACTGCTGTATTGAACTGCTACCTCGTTCCACAGTGAGAATGAGGTAAATTGCCTTCTTTATGATCATCGCTCCATGATGCTCTTTTCTACTGGACAATAGTAAAATGAAATGTTTCATCTTTCATTTTTGCTAAATATGAGAAAACTGTCTTTTCAGTTCAGATTACTAAATCTACAGTTTGTTCATATATTTTATTTTCCCAAGGACTGGAAATAGGTTGCTGCTTTCTAACAAGTTTTGTTTTTTAAAAATTGAATTGGGCTCCTAACAGACCACATTGCTGGAGTGGGGTAGCTAGGAAAGGAAGTAATAGGATCGAGGGTTTCTGAAATGAAAAATATGATGGAAGTGTAAAAGGCTTTGCCAAACTTCATTCTCTTCTATCTGACCCAGTTAAGTGAGGTCAAAAGCAAACATTTTACATTTTCTGCCTTTAATCGAAGGACAGGTTGGCACATGTACGATTCATGCACTTTCCTTTGGGTTGTGGTCTGAGTTCAGGTAAAGTCAGGGGAAGAGGACCAATACGACACAGCAATAGTCACTTTTAAGGTCTGAGTTTCTGGAAAATAAGGTTCCATTTTTCAGGCCTTGGCTTTCATTTCATACTTCATTTTTCATATGTAAAGATAAAATTTTGGTTAGTCCATCTGTAAACAGGCAGAGATTTATAAAATATATTTTAATTCTTCAATCAATTCCAGTTCCCTCCTGTCCGAGAACCAAGATGCAGAAAAACTGATCTCATTATTTATTACACTATTTATTATCCTGGCTATTTCTCCTGACTCTATTGACATATCAGGGCAGACAAGTCCTTGCCCTAGGGGAATGCATTGCACATCATGCTGTGCTTAGGAGCACTCCTGCACCCGAGCCACTAAATTTCTGTCCCTAAACCTCAAGCTCCACTGCCATTGAGTCTATTTCAATTCATAACAACCCCATATAAGATGTCCCAGGTTTTGTAAATCCTTTGGGGAGGAGATGGCCTCATTTTTCTCCTGGTAGGATTGAACTACTCATGTTGAGCTTAGTAGTTCACCACTTACCCAACAGCCCCACCAGGACTCCCGAGATTTCAGTCACACCTCCCACAAATTTTAAAGGTGAAAAATGTTTCCGAACATTGTCACATGTTCTCTGTGGGGTTGAATTGCCCCTAGTTGAGAATGCACAATGGACCGACACCTGTGAAGTGTAAATTATGCTCCAGCACTGAAATTGGAGTGTGCCATTGAATTCTTGCAGCATTGTGGGGGATGCACTATTGCTTTCATTTTTGCAGATAAAGAAACGGGAATCCAGAGAGGTTAAGTAATTGTCCTAAGGTTACACAGACAGTAAATGATCATTTTATTCCTTCTGTATAGCAACAGAGCTACTGAATCTTGCATTCTCAGTTGCTGTAAAAAATGGACAAATTATGAAAAATGAAAAGGAATTACAAATTTTCAGAGCTTCCAGCTTCGAATATGGAAATAAGAAGAGATATAATGTAATGACCACTATGAAGTATAAAATGAGAATGAATATGAAACCAGTAAGATATCATCACTAATATATAGCTCATTTCTGGACTCTAATTTTGATGGTCTTTCCTTTCAAGATATCCAATGTCCTTTCTAAGTAGTTCTTCTATCACATAGCGCATGTGAAGGCAAAAAATAACCTTCCTCCAATGGAGAAAAGTTTGTCTGCCCTACTTTCCTAGGCATTACATTAATGACATTTAAAAACCAGTGTCCATTTGATGCACTTGAATTGGGGTGCTGGCGAAGTTGGAAGTACCATGGACTGCTAAAAGGACATAGCAATCTTTCGTGGAGGAAGTATACCAGAAGGCACCTGACAGGCAAGGATGGTGAGACTACATCTCACATACTTTGGACATGTTGTCAGGAGAAATCAGTACGTGGGGAAGGACATCATTCTTGGTAAGGTAGAGGGGGCAGCGAAGGAGAAGAAGACACGCAAGAAGATTGCGTGACGTGTTGGCTGCCACAATGGGACCTAGCACAGGTGCAATTTTAAGGAAGGCACAGGGCAGTGTGCCCTTCTGCTTTGCAGCAGGTCACTGTAGGCTGCAACTGACTCCACGGCACCTAACAAGGACAATAAAAACATTTGTTCCAAATAGCTACTTAGAATGAATACCTGCAATGGGGTTTTGAGACTTTATCATACTATCAAATGGACGCATTCAGAATAATGGAATTAACCAAACAATTTCAAGAATATATAAAATACTATTTCAAACCAGTGATGATTAGAAATAAAAGAAACATTAAAGGATAGCATTGACACTTAAATGTAGAGCCTCACTTCAATCATTATACCAGCAAAGGCCAACTGACTTGAAGATCTGAATATTTAAGTCAAACACTCAAAGTATTAGAAGAAATATTAGTCAGTTTTTCTGGTATGGAATCAGTACTTTGAAAATTGACATGGTGGATCTCCTCGGAGATTTTCTGGAAGATCTGCAGGACACATGCAATAGAAGGCTTTGGGAATACCTGTGCTAACACTGCTCTCTTCTCTGTGACCTACCGCCGCCATTACAACCATCACCACCAAAGAGGTATGCTCATAAATCATGTTTGTATGAAGTGACTCCATTTTTCCTTACCTTCTACCTCCACCAGATGATTCCCTTAGGACTGAGTATCTGATTCAAGGACCATGAAATTGATAAAAAGAACAAAGCAGACAAATGACTATGAGGAATTAGTAATGCAGACTCAAGATTTAAAGGCATGCATATGTTATGAACAGCTGTCGCGAGTCTAACAGGGATCAATGGTGGTACCGTGGTAAGTATTCCTGGCGTAGTGGTGCATGAAATTGGTGCTAACTGCAATGTCTGCAGCTCAAAACCACCAGACAATCTGTGGGCTTCCATTGCCTCCAGAAGTACCAGTTTCAGAAACCCACGGGACTAGTTCTACCCTACCTTATAGGGCCGCTAGGAGTCAGAATCGACTCAATGACAGTGAGTTGGATTTGGATTTGGATCACGAGTAGAACAGAGCCTCGTTAGTACAATAGTTAAGTGCTTCGTTATGTCACCAGAGGTGGGTGACTCACACTGCCAGTGGCTCCTCAGTGAAAGCCGCAGGGAACGACTTTCATTAAAATGATAGCTAAGCAAACCCTGTCAGTCAGTGGCACTCTGTCCCATGTCTGTGCATCAAAATGGACTTTCTGGCACCTAACAACAAATCCAATATCAGGAGTCTGCTCTAGCAGAACCGAACGAATTGGGCTGCAGAGAAAGAAGCTGCAGAGGGAAGCAAACACAAAGAACAGTGTGTGTGTGTGTGTGTGTGTGTGTGTGTGTGTGTGTAAGAGAGAGAGAGAGAGAGAAGGTATAGATAAGAATGGAGAATAGTCATTGCTTTGTTTTATCATTGCCTTCCAAGCCTGGAAGCAAGATGGAATTCTGCTCGAGTTCTTTATCTCTGGTTTGTGGAGGGTGCTGTATAACCATTACCCTTCCTCCTTTGGTCAGTGCCTTGATTGAACTTATTTTTCTCCCAACCAAAAGTTTCTGATTATGGAACTATCCCTTCGTCTCACTCACTGCCATTGAATTGATGATGACTCATGCCCACCCTATCAGACAGGGTAGAACTTTCCTTGTGGGCTACAGAGGCTTAAACTCTCTATCCCTCGGAGCATCTGGTGGTTTCGAATTGATGACCTTTGGGTTGGCAGCCCAACATGTCACTACCATACCACCAGGTCTCCTAGAAACCCTAAAATGTGTCTCTAGATAAATCAGATTTCAAAGTTGCTTCTAAATAGGCAATCTACTTCAGTCTACTTTAAAGAACCTTATTTGGCATTTTGTGAATGACTACACAAGAGGAGCTTATATTTGTACCTGTTGAGAGGACTTTTTTCCAGGATGTTGCTCATTATATTACGTGGTATTTTTTAAATCATGTTTTAACTCATTTATTTTATTGTGGGAATATACTCAATTTTGAAGTCAACTTATTTTTTTCTTGGTACAAAGTGATTAGAACTTAATTCAGAATTAAAAATAAATAGTCTTTGTCATGACTTCTCAGGCTCCTGGTGCACTTTGCCTTAGGTTAAGGTAATTTGTACTTGCTAAATAGATTTATTTACACTATTTCAGGTGTCTTAGTCCTGATTGTACTGATTTGTAGACATTTCACATGTTTCCAATGTGATTTAAAAATTCCAAGTGCCCATTTTGCATAGCAGTAAAGGGACAACCCAAAGGAGGAAGGCTCTCAAGGAGATTGGCACCTGGGCTGCAACAATGAATTCAAACATAGTGCTGATTGCAAGGTGTGTGGGGGTGTGCAGCACTGGTCAGTGTTTCACTCTGTTGCACATAAGGTTGGTATACGTCACAACCAATCTGAAGATACCTAGCAATAATAACAGGACAACCATACTTCCTGGACCTGCCATCAAAGATTGGCTAGGATCATGCAGATTTCCCGCATTTCCTCTTTTTCCAATGGATCTGAGTAAGTGAAGGTGTTGGAAGATCTTGACAGGATTATATGATTCATTTATGAGTTATTGTTAACAGGATGAATTGGGATAGTGAAAACTTAGAGCTCTAACATGGGGGTTGGTCAATTTTGCCCTCCTACAAAAATATAAGTCATCTCAGAAGCAGGATGGGCAGAGGACTCTAACTAGATTCCATAAGGGAGAGTTAAGTCTTTGGTACCTTAAGATCACCGTCCATTGAGCCTCCTAGATCCAGGAGAAAGAAAGCTGTCACCACAGCGAAATGGTGACAGCAGAGGCAACAACACTAAGAGCAAGAGGCAGAGTGGTGGGGTTCCTGACCACAGAGCAAGAAAGCTTAGTGCCTCCCACGAGGAGTGGGGTACTCCCAGATACTTAATCAGGGAGCTCATCTTCCTCACTCATGGAGTTAGAGCTGAGCGCACTTAGGCTCATGATGAAGCACCATGAGCTTGGGGCACGTGTAGACAGAAGCAAGAGAGGTTTTGCTGTTGTTGTGCTGTTTTTTAGACATTACTTGGGCAGAGGTCAAGAAGCATTTGATGAAGAGGACAAGGACCAGCAGAGGCCTACCTGGGAAAAACTGTCATGATCAAAGAACTGTTTCCTGAGGATTTATGATCCTGAGTAGAACCTGCTAGTTTCCCTAATAAAGTCCATAGTTGTGAGTATTGTCTGTGTTCTGTGTTGCTTTGGGAACAAATCGGTGAACCTAGGGGAGCTAAAGGCAGAACTGTGGAAAGGATTTGGTTTCAGAATTGATAAGGAATTTAGAGGTTGGAGACGTGTGACCTCCATCTCACAGGAATTAGCTTTGCATGATTCTCATTTCCACTTGGGATATTATAGGAAGTGAGATTCAGCCCCCACACTCTTTTACATATAGAAGTGATATTTCTCTTTGACACTTTGGCTCTAAGTTCTTATCTACCTTTTTTTTTTCTTCCACTTGCCCATGAGAAGTGCTAGAGCAGCTAGTACTTTACAGTTCTGCCTGCCCATTAGTATAACAGAGAAATGAGAAAATTGCAACTTTACAGTGGAGAATCGTGGTAGATGCTAATTTCAGCAGAGTCATGGTTAACAACTTCATAGTCAAACCACAGAGTGGTCATTATGCCCTGAGAGATCACATCACTGCTGTGATAGCCTCACTAAAACATTTATGTCTATGATCAAATTACCAGAAAATGCAAGAGAAACCCAAACAACATTATCGTCCTCAACATGACGGATCAGGTTCCTTCAGAAGTGTCAAGATTATGACAGACAAGGAAAGGTTTGGGTGCTCTCACAGATCTGAGGAGACTACAGAGCAGGCATTATGGGATCTTGCAATGGAAACAAGAGCAAGAAAAGGACCTTAATGGAAAGCCTAGTGAAATATGGAATTGATTTCAGAGCAGTATACCAATGTTAACTTTAAATTTGAACGTTATAGTGTGGTTATACAAAAATATTTTTAATCATTTTATTAGGGACTCATATGACTCTTATCACAATCCATACATACATCAATTGTGTAAAGCACATTTGTACATTCATTGCCCTCATCATTCTCAAAACATTTGCTCTCCACTTAAGCCCCCGGCATCAGCTTCTTAATTTCCCCCTCCCTCCCCGCTCCCCGCTCCTCATGAGCCCTTGATAGTTTATAAATTGTTTATTTTGTCATATCCTGCCCTGCCCGATGTCTCCCTTCACCCACTTTTCTGTTGTCTGTCCCCCAGGGAGGAGGTCACATATAGATCTTTGTAATCGGTTCCCTCTTTCCAACCCATTCTCCCTCTGACCTCCCAGTATCGCCACTCACACCACTGGTTCTGAATTTAACATTAATATTGGCAGCAGGGTGAAGAGTACATGGGAACTTCTTTCTCTTTTTTCAGTTGTCTGTAAATCAGCATGATTTCAAAATAAACAAGTTCACAAATGACAGAAAATTAGATCTATTAATGCTAAAGACACATTCTGTAACTGACAGGAAATCTCATATTTTGTTGCTATTATGGAACTTTTGACTTCCGTTTTATCCTTGCCTGTGGTTATCTTGCCTTACCTTTGTCTATCTTTCCATATATCTAACTGAACACACACACATGCACAGAGATTTTTGTTGAAAAACAAAAATGAAAACAGCAAATGACAAGCGTTCAAACCGAACAATTTTGGTTTTAAAATATAAAGCATAGGTTTCCAAACTTATTTGGCCTATGTCACCTTTTCAGAGAAACAAACCAACAAACAACCCCTGTCCCTCCCCCCAAACATTATTCAGGCCCCTTCTGACTGTTAAAATCAGTTTACTATAGTCCATAATCTAGGACAAATCTGGAAATCTACTTTTGTAGCCCTTGGTCATCCCAGTGCCTACTCCCAAGGGGACAGTATCACCCACTTTGGGAAACATTGCTATAAAGCATCTCCATTCACATACAATTCTTGTTGTTCAGTCCCTTCCAGTGGAGTTATACAGTCATCAGTGCTATCTGATCCCTAGCACCCCCTTTCTCCCCTCTCTCTTCCCATACCTCCAGGGAACCATTACTCCAGTTACCATTTCTGAAGGGTTATCTATCTTGGCTTTCATGTACCGAAAGATCTTAAATATACAAATGAACATACAAAAATCTAACATGGTTAACAAGGTAAAACAAATAAAAACCAAATAGTAAGGGGAGGAAATATTAGAGAACTAGAGGATAGTTATGGTGTTCATCAGAGGTATACCACACCCTGGATTTATCACCCTTTCCATGTGGCCCTTCTGAGATGGACTGTCCAATTATCTTATAAGTGGGTTTTTGGATCTCCATTGCATCCACACCCCTTCATATCAATTTGGTTGCTTGTTTTTGAATTTCTGATACGTCTTCCTGTCAATGCCACATGATCACACAGGCTGGTGTTCCTCTTCCATATGAGCATTGCTGCTTCCCTGCTAGATGGCTGCTTGTTAACTACAAGTCTTTAAGACCCCAGACACTATATCTTTTAATAACTGGACAGCATCCGTTTTCTTCACCTCATTTGCTTGTGCACCCATTTTGTCTTCAGTGATTGTGTCAGGAAGGAGAATATCATACAATGCCACATTTTTAGAACAAACTGTTCTTGTACTGAAGTAAGATTTATATGGAGGCCCAAAGTTCATTTGCTTCCTTTTTTCATTTTGTATATATATACATATATAAACAGTACACCTAGATGTGCCATCCTTTCCCTAGATGACAGCACTACAGAGGATAGCCCAGAAGATACAGCTCTGGCAGAGCGGACGTTCTGACCGGGGAGTACAACAGACCAGTAATGAGAACCAAGCCACGAAGTCCCCAAAGTATCCCCATTCCATACTTTTGATGGGGGTGCATAACTTAGCACGCTATCTGAATTGGTTGGGGATTACTCACAAGGGGAGCAAACTGAATGTCTAAAGGTATACCCGGGGTGAGTGGGTGGAGACACTAGACCGCTCCATCCCTTACTGCAGAAGTAGCAATGGGGACATTTAGGAGGCTCTCATTTTGGACACACATGCTGAAGACTAAAAGAGTATATGAGTTGCTAGATAAGAGGGACCCAGGATATGCAGCTCTGGAAGAAAGAGGGGCTGGGCTGATGGTCTACTCTATAACATGTCCTTCTCTCTATTTTAACAGAGGGATATACATTTGCTCTGTGTCAGGATCCTTGTTAGTCTTTGGGTTATCTGTAGTTTGCTTGGTTGTCTGTTTTTTGGAGGGATGGTGTTTAGCTATACAAGAGAAGCAGGATAGGCGATCTTCAGTCCAATGGCTCTGGGGGTGGGGGGGAGCGGTGATGTGAGCACGGTGCCTACAATGATGGGAACCAGGGAATAGTAAGTATTCTAAAATTGATGGCAAGGAGGATGTACCTTTTCTGGTCGTGTTTGATCACTTGAGTTGTATCTGAGAGGAATTACTGAGAGTTGAATAATGGGTTAACATGATAATGGGGCAGGAGAAAGAAAAAGAAAAAGAGGAAAGAAGAAAAAATATGTACATATGTACTTATATGTATATTTTAAATATGTTTTTAAGAGCAGTGGGAACTGAGTTTCACTGGCCAAGAGCATTTGGAATTACACTATTCAGCCAGCACACTGATGCGTGTTTTTCTTAGGCAGACGGAAGATGATAGGAGGTTAGGCTCATAATGAAGGTGAAGCTATGTGCCTAATGTTCTAGAATTACTAGTAGGAAATACAAGTACATCACTGTTTAATTCAGCAGAAACCATTTTCCCTTGAAACCATGTAGGAAACTGATGAAAATAAACTTTATTTGAAAAGTTTAATATTTATTCCTCCGTAAATTATCTATTCCAAAAAATTCCAACATCTGGTCCCATAGTTTGCGTAATAGCCAGCATCTACTGTGGAACGAGCACAATCCGGGGTCTATTACATAGTTCACTGCATTCCCTGCTAGAAAGGTGGTTTTAGTGATAAAATGGCAGACTATTAGGTACCTGAAAAATGAGCTCTGGTTTAAAATGATAGTGGGAACAAGAAGATCTACCAAAATCCTTGGGAAAGGCCTGATTAAGAGCTCACTGTGTATTGCTTCTTACCATAGTGTAACTGTAACCAAGAGTACAGTTAAATGTTGAGAATTTCACTTTCTATCAATCCTCAATCCTGATACCTTTATTTTAATTTGATTGGGAAACCACAGAAGTTGGCCCAGACACAGAAAGCAAATACACAGGGCTTCTTTTGAAACTCTCGAGAGGTGGGATTCCATGAGAATTGGTGGTGGGTAATGCCAAACACACTTATTTTTGGATATGGTAACCAGTGGGGATTTTTATGTTCTATCAAAGTATTGCTGTTGGCTTTGGCTCCTGGGATTCTGAGTGGTTTCCTAGTGATGTGGGACACTATTTATTTATTCTACACCAGAAAGCAAACATAATAAATAATACTTGTCTTGCAATTGTCATAGTTTACTTGTTGAATAGTCGCTGAGTTCCCGAGCTTATGTGTGTGCCACTGTCTTGGAATCCTCACTCCTTTTTTGCCTTATCGCTGATAATTATCATTTTTCTCCTTGTGGTCCATATGCTTCCCTTCGCCTATAAATTTCTCTTGAGCACGATTCTACTGTTGGTCTTTTAGTTGAAGTCAGAATAGACATTTTACTTTGTACAAGGGATCAAGGGTGGGCAAAGTATCAAATTCACTTTAGTGCTATTTGAAGAGAAGATCATTTCAAATGCTTTATCCTTCCCCACCCCCTGCGCCCATCTCTATCTCTGTCTCTCTGTCTCCCTCCACAAAAGTAAACCGATAATCCTTTTATCCCACCCAAACCAATTTCTACGTCATTTTAATTTTGAAATATAAGTTAAGGACACAGAAACATTTATGAGTTTTCATAGGAACCCTCCACCCATTCTATTTGTCTGACTTTTGATTTTATTAGTTTTTATCCTCTGTGTTAAAACAAACACTCAGATGCAAACTGTCAAGACCTGAACTTTCACAATTAACTGATCAAGATATTATCTTATATCCCCCCCCCCCCAGATTGTCAATTGATTGGAAAGGCTTTCAGGGAGGACATTGAGCCAGTAAAGCAGATGGTTGGTGAGGGTCCAATCCAAAACTAGCAATGAGAAACAAGGATGGCCTGGAGCTGCCCTCAGT